TCTGCGCGCCAACGGCTGCGCCTTTGGCGGACACAGCACTGTTGCTTGCGACACCTGCACCTACATCGAGTGCGCCAGTAGGGGCTGCGCCCTTTGCGGACGTGGCACTTCCTTTGGCGATCGCTGCTTCGGCACCTTGCTCTGAATCGGTAGGGGCAGAACCCTTTGCGAGTCCCGCACTTCCTGCGATGTCCTGTGGTGGGCCGGTAGGGGCAAGGCTCTTGGCGAGTCCCACACTTCCTGCGGCAACATCACGTGGGGTTGCAACATCCTGGAATGTGACATGCAGGTTGGCAGAGGAAGCACCGGGCTGGGCGCCCGAGTCAACACCAGTTGTATGATGAGGACCCACTTGAGGTGCGGCACTATCTAAACCCTGTTGTGAGGATCTATCAAGTCCACTCTGCTGGTTTGCTTGGTCTTGCAATCCACTGGATGAAGCCCCTGCTTGGTTACCCATTGACACATCCTGTCCGCCCAAAATGGGGGAGCTCCGGTTATGCGACCGTTTGGGTTGAGGGGTATTAGAATCCGTACCATTATCGGTTTGTGCTTGCGGGGCACTTTGCGGCGAGCGAGTCGGAGGCTGACGGACTTCAAGCAAAAGGGAAACCGTCCTTTCAAGTTCGGCTAACCTAGACGCTTGTTGCAAATCCTTCTCTTGCAGAGCTAGAATGGTGGCATCACGTTCGGCTACGGCACGTTGTGCTTCTTGATAAAGGTATTGGGTCTGAGCTTGGGCCTGGGCCTGTTCAGCATTAGCTCTGTTGCGAACCTCTGCTGCGTACCTTTCAGCTAAAGCCCTAGTCTGACCTACCTCTTGATGGGCCTCAGAAACGACAGTTTGCGCCTGAAGCCTAAGCACCTCGGCCTGTTGCCTGGTTGCCGCCTCCTGTTCCGCAGCGCCAATGGCTTGCTGCCTCGCATTGAACTCATGCTCGCGTGCGTAGCTCACGGCCTGTTGAGCCTGGGTTACAAGGTTCATTGCCTGATGCCTAAACAACCCTTCCCTTTGTTGGGCGGCTTCCCGGAGTTCCCCCGCCTCCCTTCGGGCCTGCTCAGCCAGCAGTTGCTGTTGCTGTGCATGTTCAGCGGCCTGAAGCGCGACATCGGAAGCATGGTGAGCACGTTGAACGGCGGCACCCGCAACAAATGCAGCAGCTGGGAGGTTCTGGGTTGGATCGGGCGTTCCAGCCGGCTCTGATGAGGATGGTTCTGAAACGAACATGCGCCTAACAGGGGTTGCATCGGAATCTGGTGCAGGGCTATTAGGGTTATGCCTAACAACAGACATGGCTGGCACCATTGCACCCGCAAGGTCTGGGTCATCATAGTCTGTGCCATGTGAGGATCTAGACCTATCTTCGGATGGGGGCGTAATACCAGAGGAATTCATGCCTGAGCCGCACGGATGCGATAGCTTTTCCTGCACACGCGAACCAAGTCAGTGCGCCAAAGGCAGCACTCTCCAAGGCCGGTGATTTGTGCCTGGTGGGATTATGAGATGTGCACTTACGGCTACACTCAACGTAGATTATTGAATGATGCAGCAACGCACTCAGTCACACAAGGATTGATATACCTCACTAATTGATAATGGAGAATCTCCTTTGAACCTAAACCTTTTGTTTGCAATTTGGATGCAAATGTGAAGGCTCACCAATGCAGTTGTGTGCGATTGGAAATGTGTGTGACTTCGTGCGTCTTTGCGCCACAGCTCTTCGGAGCGCCAACGGCTGCTCCCTGCACAGGATGAGAAAATATCCTCGGTGCGCCAACGGCTGCACCCCTGTCGTGAGAACCAGGTGATCTACTACCTGCGAACCTCCTCAAGGAGCTCTGCGGTAGTGAGTGCACGGGCAGGCTGAATGGCCGCTCGGTCGGTTTGATCCAACCACTGCTCAATGGCAATCAATGCGTCCAAAGTCCCCTGCACCCCCTGGCTGGGGTACGCCCTGAAAGCGTGCGCGCCTGTGAGTCGCGCCTCACGACAGATTGTGGCGTTGTCGTCCACAAGGATATGTGCTGCCCAACCGTGCAAAAGGTTTGCTTTGCCAGCAACGCCAACCCTGGAGCGCGTGAACTGCGTTGTACCAACGTAGATGCCCTTGTAAGCCAAGTGTACCCTTGCTGTGGCGATCTCCGGTGCCGTAGTTCGCTCGCGCTCGACCCCACAATAGCTGCAAATAATCCAATTGAATGGACCGTGAGCTGTCTGTAGACGAATCAATCCGTCCACGATCTGTGGGTGAAGCCTTCCCCCAGAGCGGATGTTCACGTCGAGCACCCCGTGCCAGTCCAGAACGATGTTGAGCGTCTTCCGGTCCGCGAGGGGTGTCCGAGGTGGGGGATCTGGGATCCCGTGGCTTTCTCGCCTTGGTGGAGGAGGCTGAGGTGGCTCTCGCTTCGGCGGTTGTCGCCAAGGTGGGTCTGGAGCGCCAAAGGCTGCTCCCTGCCCTTTTGGTGGCAACCTCAACGATGCCGGCGGTTGCTTGTACCTGATGTGTGGGCCAGGCCGGCTGCTTGCAGGGACAGAAGCCTTTCTGGCTGGCGGTGCTGCTGAGCGTGGAGGCGAAGAAGATCTTGCTTTGCTCAAAACACGTCCGCGACTGCTTGCCAAAAATGCTGCAACTGTTCCCCGCGCCGCTGGCCGCGTCCCAAACTTTGCTGTGGCTTTCGTAGCAGGGGCCGGAGGTGGGGCCGGCGATGTAGGTCGATGAAACGGTGCTTCGTATACCCCACCCGCCCGGAATGCTGCTCTGCCTGAAAGCAAATCTTCGGTGTTGTGCACTGTGTCCCCGTCGGAGTAGTCTGCCAGATGGTAAACCTCCGCGTTCCCGTAGTTTGGGGTCGAGGAACTGGACCTTTCCCCGTAGGCCTCGGGGCGGAGCCACACGTCCGTTGGCAGCTCGTGAGGATCACTGAACTGCGGCAAACGTGATCGGGCTCGGCCTGAAAATGCCCGTGGAGCGCCGGAGGGCTGCTCCCTCTGCAGTGTCCACGTGCCGGTCCGATCGATGCGAACCGTCGGATAGGCCGAGCTCCTTGGCGCCAGCACGATCGGCCTGTCGGTTGGCGAGGTCCTTGATGGCACACTCCTTGATCTGCCACGCGAGGATCGACTGGTCGTCGGGCGAGGAGTTCTGCGGGTTCCCGAAGGCTCCCGACTGCTCGACTCGCCTGCCGCGCCGAGGGCTGCGGCCTCCTGGATCGGTGTCGGAGTTCTTGACCGAGAGCGAGACCTAAGCACAATAGGTACTTGGGAGTAAACTGCTCGCAGAACTTGCCTTGACACTGACCGTGTGGAGGTCGTAGATGTCCTTCTCCTCGGAGCTGTACCAGCCACCGCGCCGTGGGCTGCGGTCCTCGCTGTAGGCAAAGCCGGAGCAGACAACCAAGCCTCAGCAGGTGAAGCCTGCTGGGCCACGGAAGGATGCGCCGCCTGCTGCTGCTGAGGCGGTGTGGATGGGGTCGGAGACGAGGGAGTGGCAGGCACTGTATCTGCACCTGCCGCGCCAGTGGCTGCGGCCCTTCGTTCTTCTTCGCGGATTGCCCGGATGCGAAGGCCGGTTCCAGGCCCGAAGGGCAGCAAGCTGCACCTCTGACCCCGGTTCCCACTGCAGCTTGGGTGGTGTAAACCCAAAACGCTGCTCGACCTCGTCGATCACGTCCTCCTGGAGCTCCCACCACACACGCTTCTTATTTGCGGCTCCTCCGCGAGTTCCACGCTTGTGGTACTCTTCCTCAACGGCCATGCGCGCCCCCTTATGGGGGAACCGCTGAGGGAGGGCCTAGTTAATCCCGAAAGAAAGGCTATACGGCTGATAACCAATCAAAAGAGCAAGAAACCCCAAACGCGCGCCGAAGGCTGCGCCCTGAACAAAAAGAGGTGGATTGACCGTGGTTAATCCCTCAGCGGTTCAGGGGGTGGTTCCTAGACTCTCGTTCCGCACTCAGCGCTGTTTCTCTTGATGTGCGCTTGAGCCAAACGGCGTTTGCCGTTCGACAAGTCTGTCATGACATGCAACCCTCAACCTAAACCAAAGTGGCCTCAAGCAAACCTCACATCAGTGACCACACAACTAGGCAAGTTACCATGCCTTTGGGGGCTAAGGGGTCGTTATTTCTTGACTTTCCCAACCCTCACCGTAAAGGACCTCCATGTCAGCTTTTGGTTCATGGGCCCGCCCCCCAAAAAAACACCTGGAAGGGTCGCAGAAAACTGGGTCCCCATATTGAGGGGAACCCGCGACCTGTGGTTTCTTTTTAGATCCTTCCAGTTGGAAATCCTGTGGGGTCAGCTCAACAGTGGCTCCGGGTACTTGGTGCGTAGCCCTGATGACCCATGTACCCCGAAGCGGGAAGTACTTAAGGAGCCTCGACAACCAAATCCCACCGTGAAGAAAAGGGTGGCAAGATGGTAGTGCTAGTGGTAGTGGTAGTGGTCGTGGTAGTGCTAGTGGTAGTGGTAGTGGTCGTGGTAGTGGTAGTGCTAGTGCTAGTCGTCGTAGTAGTAGTAGTAGTAGTAGTAGTAGTAGTAGTAGTAGTAGTAGTAGTAGTCGTGGTGGTGGTGGTGGTGGTGGTCGTGGTGGTGGTGGTGGTGGTGGTGGTGGTCGTGGTGGTGGTGGTGGTGGTAGTAGCAGCTCCGGGTGGCTGATAAGTTTCTGACTGAAATGGAAATCGACTTTCCCGATGGAGCCATACCTGAACCCGCAGCCTGATACTATGAACCCCTGAAGACATCCGATGAGCTCAGGGGGAGCTTGGTTCTTGGAATGCTTTTTGGCTTCCAATGAAACAGACCCTGAAGGTTTGGTTGATTGTAAACGCTTCATGGGATTGTGTTTTTGGGGGGGGCTGGTACCCTTTTTAGCTTGGCTTCAAAAAAAAGAAACAACACGAAATCCAGGTGCTCGCAGTCCGTTTCCCCGCGCCCCAAAGTGCTCCTCGCAGGATCCCGAGCAAATCGACCCCCCCCCAACGAAGCGCATGGAAGGCGCGGGGTTGGCGGCGTAGCTGAGGCCCAAGACCTTTGGCACCGCGGGGAAGTGGAAACCCGAGAAGCCCCCGCTGGCGGAGTTCCCGATCCACCTGCGCTCAGTGACTAGCTCCTCCAGCAGAGAGGTTAGAATAAGAGTACCCGTTTGTTTTTAATGTTTTTTTTTTTGTAGGGGAACCCTCCCAACCAAGAAAGGGGTGAGAACGGGCACTACTGGGGGACCTAGGTGCCTCCACTTCTTTTGCAGGAAACCCAAGGGAGGTTACGACCGTAGGAGCTTATTGTCCTCCCATCCTGCGAGTAAACCCAGAATGACCATTACCTTCAAATAAAAACCCGACATTGAAATTACCTTCAGGCAACCCACCCCCGTTTTTCCCGGGAAGGCAAATCACATCCCATCCCATCCTTCGCTGGGGCTCTGGTGACAGGAACAAAGGTTCCTAGAACCCGGAAACCACAAGGGTAGGGTGACTCTTGGTTAGCTGGCGCCCTGCTTTGGGGTTCTTTAAGGGAAACCAAAGGGACACCAAAGCCAAATGCTAGGGGCTTGTCAGAAAAAGTGATGAAGGAAGCCTCCGAGAACGGTGGTTCTTGCTTCCTAAAAAGTCGTGAGAGATAGCCATTCTCAGACCGTTCTCTTGTGCGAGCGAATCCATCTCTCTCAGCTTACGGAGAAGAGAGTTAGGAAGAGAAAAGAGTGTACCCTCCCTCCCACTAGCATGGCACCTGACAGGGGGTCCCTTGAAGAGGACAATTATCTTCCAGGTGCCCTCTAAAAGAAAGGAAGAGAGTGCTGGCCTGTGGGAGGGAAATCGCCAAACGTATCCCTGGATGTCCCGTCTCCTCATCCCATCATGTTAGTAGGAATTACATGGTGATGGAATGATGGAATGTAGGGAGACGAAATAACATGGAACAACCGTCGGAAAAGGTTGGTTGGCCTTCTTCTTGCCATCGGGTGAAGCGAGACAAGGGAGGGTCGGGATGTGGGGTTGGCTCAACACAGGGGAACCAACAAAATGGGTTGTTTCCTCTTGTTTGGGTAGTTTCCTGTTGGTTTCCCTTTGAAAGCAACTTAAACAAACAAACGACTCCTTTCTCTTTTGGTTTCCCTCTACAAGCAACCAAAAGGCTACCAACTCCAAAAAGCACATGCCTATGTCTCTGACACTTCTACCACTCGCCCGCTCCTCCGGGCACTGAACGGGAGCGCATCTGATTTCCCCCGAAGGGGTTTGAAACCACTCGGAGACCTCATTTCCTTTCATCACCCAAGGGAACCTATCTTTTCGGGTCAAATGGTCAGCCCAGACGCAAAACTCCTGATCACTTCTTGGCTCGCTGGGGAATTTGCTTGCCCAGAAGTTGAAAGGCTAATTTCGAAGAGGACAAAAGGTTTGGTCCGGTTCTAAACTCCTTTCCGCTGGGGCAAAAATAAAACTTAGTTCGGCCACACCAAATTGGCCATTATACCAAGGTCACCCGCCCCCCAAAGTGGTAGCCCCCAGTTGCTAACTTGGCCCGCAGCAGCAGAATCAAAATCATGACCCTAGTCAAACTCCGAGCCTGTTCTTGGCGTTGGTGCAGTAGAAGCCCACGGCCGTGGCATCTGTCGGCACGATACGGCTTGGCTGCGTGTGCACTGTGACGCCGCCTGCAGCAAAAAAGGCACGGCGTTCAACAAGGCGCCAGCGGGGCGGGGAAGGGCTTGAAAGCGCTCGAGAAAGGGAACTGGGTGTCTTATGGGCGACTCCAAAAACGGCTCCGTTTCCCTTTGATATTTTCCGATGAACTGTGCTCACCCTCTCCGGCCGCAAACGCGGCCCGGTCGGGGTCCTGATTCCGAGGGAGAACCGTCTTTTCCTGGATGGTTTTGGAGGGAAACCACAAGGAAACCACCATGACCGGTTATGACTGACCCATTTAGGGGTCATGACTCCAGGCGCATTCCATCCAGAGTTTTGTCTCCGGAGAGGAAATCATGTCATGTTTTTCCCCTGATGGCTTTGGAGCGAAACCAAACCCCCACTGTCCCCCCAACCTCAAAAAGAAATATGACAGTTGAACAATCTTTAGAGCTGATCTTCCCCCTAATATCCAAATATATTTCTGTTCCGGGGCTTGGGTACAACCTTGGAAGAAACAGGCATGGCAATCATGGGACCCGCCACCTTGTCCACCTCCGCCGTAGTCGCTGAGCTGATCGATGATTCTCACCCGGGCGGCCAGGTTGTAGTCAAAGAGGTTGTTCTCCTGGCGACCGAACATGGGACCCGTGTTTCCAGGATTTGGACCCCCCAATGGTGGCGTTCCGTTTGGTTCCCCCCCACCGAAACCCGATATGAAACGGACTACCCTAGACTGATACCCGAGCAATATTGTCGTTCAAATCTGAAGCCAAGGCAAACTAATGGTCCTCAGACTTGGTCCTTTCAGGCAAAACTATCCCCAAAAGTAATTGGTGTTGACTCGAACCCACAAAAAGCAAAGCAGCCGCTTTCATGGACCCCAACGGAGTCTACGTGCAAAACAAAATCAGGTGCCCTGACTTTCCCTTCCCTTGCCTCTGGGGCATCCTCGAACTAAAAGGTTTTCCTCTGGTTTCCAAATATACAGGAAACAGGGTACCTTAAACAGAGGAAACAGGGGAAGCTACCCATGTCCCAATTCCAGAGAGAAATGCAGCGGATTCCAAATATACAAGGACGAAGAACAAGGTACCCCCCAAAAACCTCCCGCCCTAGAGTACCCCCCAACCCCCCCCTATCCCCCCCCCCACAAAAACCTCCCACCCCCCCCCCTTCCCCTCCCATCCCCTCCCATCCCCCCCCCCCCCATCCCCCCCCATCCAACCCCTCCCTCATCCCCCGCTCCTTCATCCACCCCCCCATCCACCCCCCTTTGCACCTCAATGCCATCCTCCAAGTAGTAGGCGCTGCCGGAGACGTCGTAGGCCACGTTCCGCGAGGCCCGGGAGGAGGAGGTGCCGTGGATCGTGAAGGCGCGGAAGAAGCTGTGCCGCACCGCGTTGTCCTCGAAGAAGGACTCGCCTGCCGCATGGGGTTGGGGGGCTAACCAAATCATGGGGGCCGGGGAGGGAGGGGCGGGGGAAGCCCAAGTAACGCTTTTTAACTTAATAAGGATGTATTTTGGCTCCCTCCCCCTCCCTGGGCTGGCCATCATGGTTGACCAAATGCCATTACACTCCCTTTCCACAATCAAAACCCGGCATTCAAATGGTCGTAATCCCAGAACCATGCTTCAAGGTTTTTTGCAGGCGGCCGCAACTATTTCTGGCTGGGACTGCCCCTTACTAACCTTCATCTACCCGGGTGTTGATTGTGGCTCAAATGGGTTTGGGGGGTTGACCAGAAGGTCCTCTACGAGACGTTGCCGGTAACAGCCGAAAAGATGATAATTCCCACTAGGTGGGAAAAGTTACCCATAGTCATTTTGGGGCGAGGAATATTGATCAACCCCCAGTTGGCATACTCTTCTGGGTTTGGTTTAAAGGGAACCAACCATGTAATGGGGTCATGTTTGAAACATAGGGAACCACCTCAAAGTGGTTCGTTCCTAAATGATGTCCAGCAAAGGGATCCCGTTATAGGCAAACCCCAAAGAAGATTCTTTGAACTTTAGTGGTTTAAACCTTTGCCCCAGCTCCTCTATGTTGGGCTCAAAAATTTCAGCACCACCCGTTCTTAGCACTACTTTCATCCCAACCACTCCCTGGTTTCCCTTTTGGCGAATCCAAGAGACAAGGGGTTGGAACTTCCCCCCGGTTGCCTGCCACGTCCCCCATCATGTGGAAGTGGAAGGCATACCTGCGGCCATGGGTTCGCTCAAACGCAAGGCGCATTGACACCCCGAGCCGCTGAACAATTGGGGTCCTGGGGAGGAGCAGAAGCCTTACAAAGCCATGAACCGTCAAACGCAAAACCCACCACAGCCACCGGCTCTTTGGGCGCTCCCGATTTGAGTGGCTCCCGACTCCTGCCTGCCCATGACGTTCTCCTGGCCCATGCGGTAGGCCAAAACGCCGGCCACTCGGCACACCGCGCTGCCCATGCACATGAAGTGGCCCCCATAGCGACTCCCCTCGCTGGCCTCATCTCCTCGGGAATCTTTTTTGGACCGGAAAGGAAGGAGACCTAAAGGGGCATTGTACGTCAGGCAAGTGATTCGTAAGCCTGGCTATAACACACTTAGAAGACTTATAACCATGGGAAGTAGGTTACAACCAGGCTTACTAACCACTTACTAAGTACATAAGGGTCCTGATGCAATTTGAGGGCTCAAAATACGTCCTTTTGGCACCTCTAAAACAACTCGGAGTATACTCGGAGTGTGGTACGGGAAGCCCGGGTTCTGCATACCAAGCCCCAGGACCCTTATGGTAAATGGAACTCTGACTAGGGGAAAGGCGCCCAGTTTTGCTTTTGTCTGGGTTCAGATTTTGGGGTTGGAAAACCCATGTCTCCTCGCAAAACCGACACATCAAGCGAAGACGAGCCCAGTGGTTTTGGTAGGTTCCACAGTTGGCTTTGGCACACAAGCCCACATTCCCAAGAGGGGTTCACATAGAACCTGCAAACCAGGAGTGGACGGGCTCCCATGGCACGTGGCTGCCAGGCTTGGGATGACCAAAGGAAGGTTCCCAACAAAACCTGGGAGGGGGGGCCTTGCTAGCCATAAGGAAAGCTTAGGAAGCCTTTATAGCCTTTATAGCCATAACTTGGGGTTTGAAAAGGAAAGCCATAAGAAATCTGCCAACGAACAACGAGTGAAGGAGAGCTCGCAGTGTTCGTATCGGTAGGGTTTCATTCTGCGTTCACACCCCGTGGTTCCACTTTCTGCCCAAGCTACTTTGCTACTTATGATTTATATGGGTCCGTCTTTTCTAAGGTTGGACCCCCCCAAAAAAAAAGGTGTTCCTGCTGGTGTCCCTTTAAAGCCACCAAAAAAGGGGTACCCTCACCCCCATATCCCTTTTGTGACAGAAAATGGCCTTAAAAACAGCAAGCCTTTCGGGGAAAGGTGTGCAAACAGGGGTATATGCAAACATCCCAAGATACAAGCAAACGCGCGGACAAAGTGGTCGCCAGCCGTTTCCGTCGCTCAAATTTGGTGCACTTTTACTCCTTGGAACGTGATGCTGCGCGAGAGCAGCGCCACTTCAGCAAAATACTCCGGCCCGCCGTAGTGATCATGTTGCAGCGGCTCTGAGATCGTCACCTGCCTCAGGTGGAAACAGCATGCAATCCTCTGCAGGTTATGCTGGCGTCTTCAGGGAATGAGCACAGCTGAATGCTCTGGCAAAAAAGCAATTAAGAGGTGTCTGCAATTAAGAAGGAGAAAGAGTCAGGGAGACACAGAAAGGGAACACAGAGTAGCAACTGTCGCAGAACGATTTCCATCCATCCGGGTATCTGTCAAAATTCGGGGGGGACCGGGAAACCTTCAATCTGTTTCTTCTTCTGGTGTCCTTTTCGACCAACCTGAGGCGCAGCCTCGAAAAGTACGACCCCTGTACCAAGAGCGAAAGTCTTTTGCTGTGCGAGAAAAACATGCCTCCATTTTGGTGAAGACCCCTGGCAAAAAAAAACGGGATAAACTCCTTTTACAACCAACTGGGAAAATACAGAATATTCATTTCAGAAAAAGGAAGCATGCCATGCCAAGTTGCGAGCCACTGACCGCGGTGATCTCCCGCACCTCGTTCTGATGATCGTCCGGATCATCGGTCCACGCGGTGGTGATAACCACGATCTGCTGCCCCACTTGCCAGTCCACCTCACCGGAGTCATGATGGTTTTGACTCACTTGCCCAAAGGACCCAGAAATAAAAGGTCAACCTTTTGGCACCTAAGAATGGACCAAAACGGGAAAAGCAAAAGGTCAAAAGGTCGGCTTTGGGCAACTGAGTTGAAGGAAGAGGGGCTGGGTTTGTCACCACAAGTCATCTAGCCTTCTTTGGGACCATCGACGTGGAATCCTCTAGTTGCGTGCCTTTTTAGGTTCCCGTTTCACCTTGGTTTCCGCTACCAAAAGGAAAACCACCAATCGTGGGGTGCCTCCTATTCGAACGCACACAGTACCATTTTCTCCACCGGCCGATGGCAGAAAGACGATTCCAGCCCTGGTCGGTGTTTGGTAAATTGGAAGTAAAAGGAAGTAAAAAGGTACGATGGATGCCATCAATTTTGCAAGTAATCCAACCACACTCAGCCACCAAGCCATGGCAAAATACCGTAAAACTCTAGAGAGTGTTTTTCCTTGCCCCTTTACTTGCAATATATTGGGCATCCACGGTAGCATCCCGCCCAACGAGCAAGAAAGCCCTATTTCGCGATTGATGCTTGGAAGTGGACTCCTGCCGGCCGTCCGATCATGCGGCCCCCCTCACGTTGGTGGAAAGGGGAAACATATCAAGTGTTTCTGCAGAAGGAAACGAAGAAGAAAAAAAAAAGGGAAACAAAACGCAGTCTTCCGCGTGTCACACTCTCCAATTATCTCAATGAGTTGACCAAATCGACTGCCAAAAGACACACAAGACACAAATGAAAGGGAGACGCCGTTCCTTCCCTCGTTCCTCCCGAAACCCTGCCTCAATCACCCACTCCGCACAACCCACCGACCGAACAACCGGCCCGAACCTTCCATTTGGGTCAGACCCCTAGAAAAAATATATATGCCCAGTAGTGATTAAAAGAGTCCTTTTAAAAACCAACCAGGGGGGAAAAAAACATATTCCTTTCAGCAAATGCCAGGAACCCCGAAAACCTCGCCTCAATCACCCGCTCCCCAAAACCCGCCGAACGCCCAAAAAACCGGGCGACCGCAAAAAACCGCCCGAAAACCCGGCGACCGAACCGAAAGCCGACGCGACGCGCCTCGTCCATGAGCTGCAGCGTGCTGCTCCCCGCTTGCGCCTGGGCGCTGAGCCGCGTCCAGGTGGGCGCGTACCGCACGCCGAAGACCTCCAGCAGCCCGCCGTCGCCCACCACCAGACCCTTGGTCTCCAACGGGTTAGAGGACCTACGGGACAGCCGGGACCAACGCCCCACCTGAGTCCAAAAAGCCGAAAAAGACCTCAAGCGGGGGAGAGCCCACCCCACCTGAGTCCAAAAAGCCCGCCCCCAAAAAAAAAATTAATAAGGTGAGAGACAAAAAAGCCAGAAGTGAAATGAGTTGGTTGAAGCCAGTCCAAAGAGACATGGGTTAAAGTCAACTTAGCTCAAGCAAATGAACCAAATCTTCATGTTCGTTAGCGTGGTTGGGTACCAAGGAATGTACCAGTGTTGCAGCAATGCCATTATACCAACCGATGGGTGTGTCTTTTCTTTTTCAGCGTACCCTTTGTGGGGTGGTTGAAAGGTAACCAAAAGGAAAACCAGGTCCCCTAAAAAACACTTATGTAACCAAAACGGTACCGCAGGTTATGGAAGTGGGTTGCTGATGCCAAGGTACGGCTTGGTTGGAACGGGTCTTCTCAAAGGTGCCCTATTGAAAAAATACTGGACAGGACACCTATGGGTCTTCTGCCTTTTCTTACAGCTAAAAACCCATGCCCAGCCAGTTGTTGAGATGGTTCCCCGCGCCTGGCGCCTTTATCGCCAGCCCCGGTGAAGGTCACTGTGACGCCGCTTAAAGGGCACGTCGCAGAGCCCATGCGGAGAGTTCCTGCGCGGCAGATCGCACAAAGCTTTCCACCGTTCCGGAAAACAAAAACCTTTCGGTGATACCAACGTGGGTGCGTCTTTCTTTGAGGGTACCCTTCTTGGTTGGAGCTTTTTTTGCAGGGAAACAGAGAGGAAACCCACTATTTTGGGGATCCACCAAAAAATGACAGACCCAAGTGAGCGGACCTCCTATCGCCGTGACTCCTACCTCCCAGTCCTTCCACGTACAAAGCGCGGAGCGACAAATCCACGTTGGGCGCCACCACCAGTTCGGCGCCACTGGCCACCGTCAACGAGCCCAGGTTCGCCGAGTCCGACAGCAGATAGGAGCCGCCTGAGGTGAACCCGGTACTAAAATGGTGAACCCAGAACCATGCTTCAAGAATTAAGAAGGCGGATATCCGCAGCTATTTATGGCAAGGGGATTGGCCCTTACTAACCTTCATCTACCCGGGTTTTGGTTGTGGCTCAGGTGAAGTGGCAACGTTGACAGGCCCCAAATAACTTACACAAGAGGGCATGTGGCCATGGTTCAAAACCAATGGGATCCCATTTTGGGATAGGTGTACCACCCATTTTAGAACCTATCTTAGTGAGGATTGGGATGTTCACTGGGGGTACGGAGTTTTGACTCATGGCCATATGGGTCTGTCTTGTTTTGGAGTTGGCATCCCCTGTTGTTTTTGCTTCTAAAGGAAAACCAAGAGGAAAACTGTAAGGTCCCCTACAACAAGACACACCAACATGGGTATGTGTCAAAACAAGGGGGCAAAAGAGGACCTCACACGTGGGTGTGAATTTGCAAGGTGTCCAAAGCACTTGGACTTCTCAACCAGTTTGTACGGTGGTCCTTTCGGTGTCCCGACAAACACCGCCAAGAGGGCGGTGTTAAACAATACACAGCCACATGACCAAGGCTTTGTCCACTTTGGGAAGTTTGCAGCTGGTCCCCCCTAATCATGGGTTTGGTATGGGTTTGGTGTCTAAAAGTCGGGGTCGACAGTAGGGAAACCCGCAAAAAGGGCGTTCCCCTTGGTCGTCCTATAAAACTAAGGCCGAACAGGTACGGGGCACCCTCCAAAAAGACCCACTCCCGAACTTGGAAGCCCGCACTTGCTTGCACTGATGGAGTTGATTTGCACGTTCCATTGTGAAATGGCCATGCTCATTTTTGCATTGCCCTGAAGCCGGCAGCGGAGGTCTGCGCTTGAAAAACAACATCTGCCAAGGACAAATGCCTTCAAACATTCTTCAAAGTTCAGTGGGAACATGCCCAAGCAACCTGAACTGGGGAGGAACAAACGTTCCCATTTGCGACGAGCCATGCTTGATTCCTCCAAGGCAGACTTCAAAACCCACTGGGTGATTTCGCCAGGGATCGGAACCGGGTTCAAGTCTTCCTTGGAACCAAAACGCGCGGAGAGTCCGGTTGCCCAACCAACACAACTCGCCCAACCCGATCTTGGCGGGGCGCTGCTGATGGTCAGATCAGACGTTGGGTTCCGAGAAGCCAGGAAGTCCGCAAAGGGCGAGAGCCCGGGCCCCTCGGCACTAGAGATGCCGGAGTTCTGTTCTACCAGATGATATGGCTGTGAGTCAAAAATAGGGTAACTCCAAAATGGGTTGCCCTGGTAAATGGAACCAATGACTAAAACCTGTGGTCCCCTGGTGGTTTAATTTTGACCCACACCCATATGGAACCCACGGGGAGAAAGTTATATCGCCTGTCAAGGTCACTGCACAAGCATGTCTCCGGGGAACAGTTGGGTGAAAGTGGATGGCTCAAATCCTACGGCCTTCTGGTTTCATCGAGTGAAACGGCGCATGAAAGTGGGAATGGTGCCATCTATACTTTCACTGAGCCCATAGCTTGGTTGACGTTGGAAGGGGAGGAAGAAAAAACAATAGCAGTTAAGTGGGGATTTCCAACAAGCAAAAATGCAACATGTTTCCCAACAACAACCATGATAGGTTGTTGTTGTTTTTGCGTGGCCATCAAACCAATCCTCCCCGCTGCAACCTTTGAATCTGCAAGCCACAAGCGTGCATCGCGACAAGGGCTCTAGAGAAGCGCTCCACTCCTAATCCTCTTCTTCCATTTAGTTAAGGCCCCAGGAATAAAAATAAAAAAAATATGTCCAGTAGTGATGAATTCGTTTTAAACCCAACAAGGGAAAATTAAACATATACATTTCAGCAAATGGAGGTCTTTAAACCCTGTAGGATCTCTTTATTCGGCGTACAGGATTATTTAGCCCGCCCTCAAGTCCTCACTCAACAGACTCTGATATTAGCTACCCAACCACCCACTCTCGTCTCCCAAAAAGATCTACTCAATCACTACCATTCTACTCAACTCGCACATATCTACTAGGTCCTCCAGTAGAGGCTAGAACAAGGGTGCCCTTTTTTCTGTCGTCTATTCTAGTAGGGGACCCCTCCCCAAAAAAAGTGGGTCAAAGTTGGCACTACTGGGGGGCCTAGTCTACTTAATCACTACCAATCTACTCAATCACTACCATTCCTGGGCTGCCCTCAGATCCCCCGCTCAAAGTTTAACTTCTAGTGGGTTAAACGGAAACTACCACTAAACGCTAAAAAGCGTTTAAGCGCTCAGGAACCGGATGGCCTTTGGGAGGAACCGGATGGCCTTTGGGAGCCACCAAGTTGCCCAGTGCAACCTTGACAATTCCTTGGTGGAAATTGGAAGGCGAGCAAAAATTTCAATTTTAGCAGTTAAGTGGGGGGTTCCCACTAAACCACAAAAAACAAAAATGTAAAATGTTTCCCAACAACAACCATGATTCTTCGTCTTTGGAGCCCTCGGACTGCCGCTGAACTCGCACCTCCCACGCCCCCCCGAGCTCGGCCGGCGATTTGCTCGGCCTGGTGCGGGCAGCCGCTGGCAGCGCCGCTGCCGGCGCCTCCGAGGGCCCCGAAGAGTCGCGCGGGGAATGGTGGCCCGTGTTCTTGGAGGGGACCCTTTCGGGGGGATGGGGAGGTTTTCTGGTTGTTTTAAGGGAAGCCGCAAAAGAACACCAGGGTTCCTGCAAAGGTTGTTTGGGTTTTTGTTTGCTTCCAGGGGAGCCGAACAGCAAAAAAGATCAGGGTGGGGTTCCCTTTGTTTTGGGATGCTTCTTGGTTTGTGTTGCTTTTTCAGGGAAGCCGCAGGAACACCCAAAAGTCATGTCAGGGTTCCCTGATTTACAAACAAGCCCATGTGAGCAGCGCCCGCTTCACCAATTGACTTTTGTTCTAAGATGGTGGTGAAGTTTATGCGGACTGCATAACCCGAAAGAAGAAACACAAGTAGTAGGACCCCTTTGCAAAGCGGCCAATGAGGATTTGGGCGCTGCTCATGTGGGAAAACAAACAAGTAGGGCCTGGGCGGGTTGGCCCCAAAAGCGCATTCTTGGGATCCATCTTGTGTTGCAACTTGCGCATGAGGAGATCAAATGGAATTCTTTAGGCTGGAGGGGGGGGTAGCTGAGAGGGAATGCCTCTGTCAGTGTCTTCAAGGGTGGGTTGTTGATACACCGATTGACCTCACCTGGATTTCGAATGACAAAGTTGAGCTTCTTTGAAAGGGATGCAGGTTGTCGAAGGTTCACCTGGCAGAGCACGAAGCCCATTGACTTTTGGATCTAGGTCCTCCAGTAGAGAGGTTAGAATAAGGGTACCTTTTTTTCTGTAGTCTATTTTAGTAGGAGAACCCTCCCGCACAAAAAGGGGGGAAAAGGGCAATAAGGTGGGACCTACAAATCTACCACGACGGTTGCAAAGATTTATGTATACGCCTTGCCATCCCCCAACCCCCCGCCGAACCACCCATCAGGGATCTCATTCGAAATCGGTGTTTGTTGTGGCTCAAATATGCGGGGGATCCCCCAAAACATGGTCAACTGGGAAGTAGAACCGACCAAAACAAAAAGTGGGGGGGGGGGGCGGTTTGAGGCGCACCGGTGCAGATGGGAGGAACCGATGTCGAATGCCTGCTCCTGGCATGCGCAGCTGCTCAAACGCAGGGGTGTAGGGCGTCTGCTCCATCTCCACAGAGACCTGGCGGCTCAAGGGATTTGTGCGGGCACCCTTGTCACCTTTAATGAAAACCAGAAGAAAACCTTGGCATGTTTCGGGGTACCTTGCGAGGTTCTCCTTGTCTTGCCCTTGCGATTCCGCCCCCAAGAATTGCTCGGAGCCCCAAGAACAAAGTGCAGATATCCGCAGTCTTGATTCTGTACCTACCATGTTTTGGGGGTATCCTTGCGTGCCAGATGTTAAGTGTGACTCAGGTGTTGAAAGGTCAACCCTGCCCGGGTTCGGGGAAGCATGCCAATCAGATACCGTGATACGTGCAGTTGTTGATCCTGCTGGTTGGGAAATCCACTACAAACGGGACGAAGTGGCTCTGGAGAATGGTTGGACCCTTGGTTGGTTGCTTCAAGCAGTTTTTTCTGAAATGCCAGAAGGTCGTTTCCCATCCTGCCATGACTGCTTGAAAGCCACGACTACTTGATCCCTTTCATGGTTCCGTCGGTATCGCAAGCGGGGCTGGGCAAATCGTGCCTGAACAACAAGACCCCATCCCCCTTTAAACGGGACACCACTACATTAAACAAACTAGGCTCTGAAACCATGGTTTTTGAACAGGGGGTTGGCCCACCCTGATCACGAGTGCCAACCAAACATGTTCCAAGCACGTCTGCTGAATCTTGTTCCTATCGGCTGAGACTCCAAGCTGAACATCTCTGTGCCAGCCGGAAATATGGCTTGACCTAGATTCGTTCCACAAAACCCGCCACCATCCATGTTGCAGGGAGAGTGTTTAGTTTAACAAAGATGAACCGCCACCATCCAGGGAGAGCACTCGAGTGCTTAAAGATGGTTGAAAGGAATGGCCGGGGGGACGGAAACAGAACGATAGGATCCCTACTCCATGCCCCTCCCACTTCGCTTCGCCTGCTGCTTGAGCTCTGGCTTCAGCTGGATCATGGACAGACTCTTGGTGCCGGAGAAGCCTCGAGTTCGGAGCGTGGAAGGCGGAGCCACAGGGGGGTTCGAGGGAAACCAACGGGGAAACCACAAAGGTCCAGGGTCGGGCTAGGGCTTGAATCTGTCCCAGAATTCAAAGCAGAACTTGAGAGATATGTTTTTTTGTGCAACTCGCCCCAAGCTGATCCGGATCCCCACAACGGCTGCACCGCAACAAAAACCTCCGCCATGGATTCGCTTCTGAATCCGCTGGGCCCTCCCCCGCGCCGCTTTCTGCGAGGCACTGCTGGGCGTGGCAGGCCGGTACCACATGGACACCGCGACCAGCGCAATGGCGGGCACGATCGCCACGCCGGAATGCATCGCCATGGCGAGGAATTCGAACAAGGATAGAGCTTGAAGCAAAAGCTGCCCAAAGCCAGGCATGAGGCATGGATCCAGCTCCAGATTGCCTGGATCCATGTTTTGCAGTTTCGCAGTCGTGGCTGAGAAGCCTGGTTACCCACTGGGTTGCAACCATGAGGGCCCGCCCGAACCCCGACAAGAAACCCAAAACCCACCCCCCAACAAGAAACCCATCCACCCCCCGACAATTTTTGTTCTTTCACCCCACGACAAGAAATCGCTTTGGGGCCTGAGGAGGGATTGGCTGGGGATCCGCTTTTCGAGCTGGAATGCCGGATTCCAGCTCGAAAAAGGTTGTCTTGGGGATCCGCTTTTCGAGCTGGAATCCAGCAATCCAGCGAAAAGCGGAGCGGAGATCCAGCCAATCCCTCCTGAAAGGGGGCCGTGATGAAGGTTGTCTTGGGGATCCGCTTTTCGAGCTGGAATCCGGCAATCCAGCTCGAAAAGCGGATCCCCAGCCAATCCCTCCTGAAAGGGGGCCGTGATGAAGGTTGTCTTGGGGATCCCTTTGAGCTGGATTGATGAAGGTTGTCTTGGGGATCCGCTTTTCGAGCTGGAATCCGGCAATCCAGCTCGAAAAGCTGATCCCCAGCCAATCCCTCCTGAAAGGGGGCCGTGATGAAGGTTGTCTTGGGGATCCGCTTTTCGGCATTCCGGGGATCCGCTCTTCGAGCTGGAATGCCGAAAGCGGATCCCCAGCCAATCCCTCCTGAAAGGGGGCCGTGATGAAGGTTGTCTTGGGGATCCGCTTTTCGAGCTGGAAACCGGCATTCCAGCTCGAAAAGCGGATCCCCAACAAAGCCCGATCCGCTTTTCGAGCTGGAATCCAACGAAAACGGATCCAGCCAATCCCTCGCGAAGGGCCGTGATGAAGGTTGTCTTGGGGATCCGCTTTTCGAGCTGGCATCCGGCATTCCAGCTGAAAAGCGGATCCCCGGCCAATCCCTCCTGAAAGGGGGCCGTGATGAAGGTTGTCTTGGGGATCCGCTTTTCGAGCTGGAATCCGGCATTCCAGCTCGAAAAGCGGAAGCAGGCCGTGATGAAGGTTGTCTTGGGATCCGCTTTTCGAGCTGGAATCCGGCATTCCAGCTCGAAAAGCGGATCCCCAGGCCAATCCCTCCTGAAAGGGGCCGTGATGAAGGTTGTCTTGGGATCCGCTTTTCGAGCTGGAATCCGGCGTTCCAGCTCGAAAAGCGGATCCCCGGCCAATCCCTCCTGAAAGGGGGCCGTGATGAAGGTTGTCTTGGGGATCCGCTTTTCGAGCTGGAATCCGGCATTCCAGCTCGAAAAACGGATCCCCGCCAATCCCTCCTGAAAGGGGGCCGTGATGAAGGTTGTCTTGGGGATCCGCTTTTCGAGCTGGAATCCGGCATTCCAGCTCGAAAAGCGGATCCCCGGCCAATCCCTCCTGAAAGGGGGCCGTGATTAAGGGTTCTTGGGGATCCGCTTTTCGAGCTGGAATCCGGCATTCCAGCTCGAAAAGCGGATCCCCAGCCAATCCCCTGAAAGGGGTGAAAGAGCCGTGATGAAGGTTGTCTTGTCACTTTCCGGCTGAATCGGCAATCGCTCAAAGCGGTCTGTCCCTCCGAAGAGGCCGTGATGAAGGTTGTCTTGGGGATCCGCTTTTCGAGCTGGAATCCGCCATTCCAGCTCGAAAAGCGGATCCCCAGCCAATCCCTCCTGAAAGGGGGCCGTGATGAAGGTTGTCTTGGGGATCCGCTCGAGCTGGAATCCGGCATAAAGCGGATCCCCAGCCAGTCCCTCCTGAATAGGGGCCGTGATGAAGGTTGTCTTGGGGATCCGCTTTTCGAGCTGGAATCCGGCATAAAGCGGATCCCCAGCCAATCCCTCCTGAATAGGGGCCGTGATGAAGGTTGTCTTGGGGATCCGCTTTTCGAGCTGGAATCCGGGAATCCAGCTCAAAAAGCGGATCCCCAGCCAATCCCTCCTGAAAGTTCGAGCTGGAATCCGGCAATCCAGCTCGAAAAGCGGATCCCCTTCGCAGGAGGAAAGAAGACTAAGGGAAGAGGAAAGAAGACTAGGGGAAGAGGAAACAAGACTAGGGGAAGAGGAAAGAAAACTAGGGGAAGAGGAAAGAAGACTAGGGAAAGAGGAAAGAAGACTAGGGGAAGAGGAAAGAAGACTAGGGGAAGAGGAAAGAAGCTTGTTTTGGGCTGCAAGCATCGCTGTCGGGGTGTCGGTGTTTTTTTGGTCGTGGGGTGAAAATAAGAAATTGTCGTGGTAACCAACGTTTTAGTCGCAGGGTTGCAGTTGTTTGGCGTGGTTAAGGCCCGTGCTGTTGCAACCATGGCTTCCCTTTATTGAAACTCGCAGAGCGAACCGCAGAACCGATCGCTGGCCTGGTGCTAGAAGCAGGGCCGGCATGGCGTCGGCACCTGGAACTTAAACAACCCCTGAGGAAACCTCACCTATGGGCAAGACAGGCGATGCGCAAAGCCACCAAAAAAGGCGGGGAGAGGCTTTGCCCTACAAGGTGTTGGCTTGCGCAACTTCAAAGGAGTTCCCTTTTCTCACGCGTCAAATGGACCCTTGGACCAGGGACCCATGTTTTTGGGGCAAGGCGAAGTGGCTGTGGCACCCATTCGCCAACTCCCAGGCCAAGCACACAGCTGGCTTCTGGCCAGCAAAGAAAGCCCTCCAAAACCCGTCCCGACTTCCATGCGTGTCAGCTTCCGCAGAAGCTCCCTCAGATTCACGTGGAACTCAGAAAACCCGCACTTGGAGGAGCCTCCGTGGGTTCCTTCCGCTCATTCGGAAGTACCCTCCCTCCCAAACATCTCAAAGCCTCAATTCCCGAGGGCCACACCTCTGGATGCCTCAAGCGCTCGCGGCAAAGTCGGCCCCTGTTCACCTCTTGATCTCTGGAAAATGTACGTCTTACAACAAAGCAATGGCATCCCAAATCAATCTCTTGTGTCTCATCTCTGGATCTTCCCGCCAAACATGCTTTTCCAATTCATACACTATTCCATCCAAACAAGTGACTTCGGAAAAATATGGCTTGGGCGGGCTTCGCCTGCCTGGTCTCCGAGAAAAAAATAAGCTCAGGTGATATCCCAAACAGCATGCGGTGCTCTTTTTTTTAGTGCTCGCACCTGGTGGAACCCTGGTGGAACCCTGGTGGAACCCTGGTGGAACCCTGGTAGAACCTTGCGTCAGGGCCACCCCGGACCACCCCCGAGCCTATCTGGGCTGAGACCCCAAAGCTTGGGGAAAAACTGGACCCCCAGACTACTCCGACAAATTGGATTTCGCCCCAAAGGTGTGGTAGTTTCAACTCACTTCCTGAGCGGATTGGCCAAAAAAGATCAAACGCTTCGACTACCACTAGAACGGTCTTCCCACAAAGGATAAAGTCCAGAAACTTCAGGAGTGAGTTTCCCCAACTTTACCAGTAGTTTGAGAGTCCAGGCACGTCCGTACAATTCGGAGCATCCAGCCTTCTCTGCATCCGGATCGACCACCTCCTGTTCCAACAAACAAGCGAAACGTTTCGTGAGCCGAGCGGAAGAAGCGCGCGCATTCGATGAATCTAGTAATGGAATTGGCCAAGAATTGGGTCCGTCTTTTGTTTGAGGATACTTGAAGGAAAACCAAAAGGTAAACCATTTAAAGGCTAGAAGTCGCAAATGACATTAAGATGATTCTTGTTAAGCCTGTCGGGGAAGTCAACCATTTCATGAGGCAAGCGATGCAGCCCTGGTTATAAGCCACATGTGGGAATGAAACTTGATTGGGCCCACCGGACACGTTTAAGAGCTGTCCCCATTTGTGCTATGGTCCAACTCCTTGTGTTGGTCATAGCAACGCCTACAATGGCTGCCTAAAATCGCAAAAGGGCTCATGACCAGCCCAACTGAAACCAAGTAAAAGGCTGCCTTGACCACGGCACACCTGAACTCGCAGCCATGAGGAAGGGGGGGGTCTCAACATAGCAAAGACCTCCAAAATGGCAACGGTTCTTTGCGGTGTGCCAGTAAATAGCGGCGAAAAGTGTTCCAAATCTCATGTGAATAATCTTTCTTCAGACCCTAAAAATTAAGCGTCCTGTTGGTGTCTCTTTAAAATCACTAAAAAAAGAGCTGGTACAAGATGCAACTGCCCCGCCTTGTCGCGGTCGCTCACACTGCTCTCCTTGGCCTTGCCGATAGGCTGGGTCAAAAAGAGAGGGTAGGTGGGTGTGTCTTTCTTTAGGATACCGTTTTGGAGTGTTTGAAGAGAAACTAAACACATTTTTGGGAAAGCCCCCCTGGTTTGAGACACACCCATGCATCAAGATAGGAAAGGCCGAAAGCTGTGCTTTCCCGTTTGGTTTCCCATTTGGTTTCCATTTTGGCTTCCCTTTGAACCAACCCCCAAAAGGGCACCCCGCCAACACAGGGTTCCACTTGTTGATTTGCCCAAACCAAACGGTGAGCCCGTTTTCCCCAACGGAATCGGAACCCGGGTTGAAGTCCTTAAGTCCTTGGCGGGGGAACTGGCCTCATGATTTTACCAGGATCAAAGTCACCCAGGTGTAAAGGGAAACAACCGATTCCATTTTCTGACTTTGATAACCAGAAACCGCCAAAATAACATGAATTCAGCTTCAGGGAGCATCTCCAAAGAGCTCCAAAGGGCCACAAAACAGCCCGCCACTCGACTCGGGACAAGTGTTGGCTTAAATCAAACAACCAATTCCATTTTCTGACTTTAACCCCCAGAAACCGTCAAAATAAAATGACTTCAGGGGAATCGAAACTGGAGCCTTGGCTCCCAAAAGATTGCGTCCGCTTGAAACTCCTCCCACTGCCAGCGGAAAACCGACGAAGCGGCCGCGCCTCCGGCGCCTCCGGCGCCTCCAGTGCCTCCGGTGCCTCCGGTGCTGGCCTGTGGGCAAGATCCGCAGGAAAGACGGAGGCCGATTCCCATGAAAGCACGCATGCCACGCGAAAAACACGTTTTTGACAAGAAAAAATGGGAAAAAAAACACGCGCAACTCGCTGGTTCTCAGGAAGTGAGATAATTTCACCCTGAACAGAACCATTTGTATCCTACATTTCCTTAGGGAAACCACGGTTGATTCCCTCAAAACCAGCAAGA